AGCTATTTTTTGAAACTGATTTTTGGAAGGTGGTGGGGGTTTGGAAGAGAAGTTATTTTCTAATACTATTGGTTAAAGACTTTTATAAATCTGGGATCACAGTGATTTTACAACATAATATTGTACTACTTTACAGAACTCTGTCGTATCTTAGTGATTAGGGTTACTGAATGGACAAAAGGGTTAACAAATATACAAAAGTATTTCAAAAAGTCAGTAGAAAAATGAAATTAAGAGACATTTATTCTGGTGCAAAAAATGTTTGAAATCGATGCATTTTTTTTCCATACTATGCATTTTTCTGTGTACTTTTTTTTTATTTTTTTTTATTTTTGACAGGCAGAGTGGACAGTGAGAGAGACAGACAGAGAGAGAAAGGTCTTCCTTTGCCGTTGGCTCACCCTCCAATGGCCGCCGCTGCAGCCGGCGCACCGCGCTGATCCGATGGCAGGAGCCAGGATCCAGGTGCTTTTCCTGGTCTCCCACGGGGTGCAGGGCCCAAGCACCTGGGCCATCCTCCACTGCACTCCCTGGCCATAGCAGAGAGCTGGCCTGGAAGAGGGGCAACCGGGACAGAATCCGGCGCCCCAACCGGGACTAGAACCCGGTGTGCCGGTGCCGCAAGGTGGAGGATTAGCCTATTGAGCCACGGCGCCGGCTCCTGTGTACTTTTGAAGACCCCTTGTATGCATGATGATGTTGATTTGAAACAGTTTTTGGCAGATGGAATATATTTATTAGGTTTATTTTTGAAGTTAAATATAAAATTTGTTCCTCAAAAATAATAAAAATTGATAGAGTGTAAAAAGGGGGAAATTATATTTCTGATAAAATTTTTATATCTTAGAATTATCTCTGTAAAATATTTAATTATTTTCTTCACATATAATTGAGAAATTTGGGCAGTAGTGCTAGCCTTTCTAAACATTTTTTAGGAGCCGTGTAATTCCATACATGTTGAGTATCTTCTATGATTTTATTTTTATTTTTTTAAACACACAGAGCATGCTTCTTTTCAAAATATTGTATAAAACATTTTAAAGTGTTTGATTTATTTGAAAGCAGAGAGAGAGAACCCTTTCCAAATGCTTGCAACAGTCAGGGGTCCAAAGTCTGGAGCTGGAAACCCAATATAGGTCTCCAACATGGGTTACAGGGATGCGGCTGCAACAGCCATCACAGTTGCCTCCTAGGATGTCTGTTAGTAAGAAGCTGGAATCAGGAGCTGGAGCCTAGACTTGAACTCAGGTGTTCTGATACAGGATGTGGGCATCTTAACTTGCTGGGGCAAACGCCCTCCCCAGTGGCAGTGTTTAATAGGAAAATTCCTGACCTAGGATTTGCTTCACAGAATTCACCAATCATGAGAAATCATGTGTAGTGTTTTGCTTTTTATTCATTTTTTTTTTCTGGAGAAAGGCTTAATAATAACTTTCATATGATTTTCTTCTTCTTTTTTAACTATAGACTCATGACCCTAAAATGATTGAGACCATGGACTTAGTACCTCAGCTTAGTCTGCTAATGAGTCAGTATATTAACAGCATACCAATTAAGTGGAGCTATCTTCCTTAGCAAAGATAAAACTCCCCTCTCATTTCCTCCCAAAATTTCATCTTCATAACACTATGCTGAAATACTTTCCGTAATGCCAGCCTTGGAGAGACTGTGGCAGTGTCCCCCAGTCCCAACATCAGTCCTTAACTAATTGACTCAAAATACTGCTTCATCCAGTATAATTCTGTACTCTCACCTTTTCCTTTTTGTGTGTAGAAAATCACTAATCTCATAGAAACTGATTAGCAATTAAAAAAATCACACAAGTCATTTATGACTCTCATTTGGAAACAGATGGGTTTTAGATTGAAGGATAGTTTCCATGGCTGTTTTTTGTGTTAGCAATAATAACCTTTTGTTGACTTTGCTGATAAAGAAATATGATCTGTAGTGGGCGCTCCAGGAGATAAATTCACACAGAGTTACTCTCAGACTGTTGTTAGCCCTTTGCCTTTCACCCTTGTCCTTGAGTGGTGTTGACTGTGGGTTGCTCTCCCACACTGTAGACCCATCTGTTTTTCCTGGAATGAAATCAGCAAATAGAATCTTTTACTTATACTTCATAGAAAAGCAAGGGATTTGAAATAAACTTTTACATGTTATCCTCTTTATTCACATATTTTTATCTATTTTGTTTCATATTCTCTAAAGCCTTGGATTTTTCTGCCTGTTTACTGTAGAGTCATACTGTTTTCTCTGGTATTTAATAAAATGATTCTTTTGAATTCTGATCCTTAAGGCATATATGAATTAGCATTTTTTAAGATGATGTTTATTAAATGACAGAATGTGTCACTGAAAGTCAATATTTAGCATTTGGTATATTCCCCTCCCTCTTACACATCCTACACTTTCAGTATAAGCATTATTGATTTTAAGATACACCTTTGATATACTTATGGGTTTTGGAGAATAAAAAAGCACTATCTTTTTTTAAAAAAAATTATTTATTTATTTGAAAGGTAGAACACAGAGCGAGGGAGAGACAAAGGTCTTCCATCCTGGTGCACTTCTAAAATGGCCGCAAAGGCTGGAGCTGGCCGCTTGGAAGCCAGGAGCCAGCAGGTTTTTCTGGGTCTCCCACGTGGGTGCAGGGACCCAAGCACTTGTGCCATCTCCTACTGCTTTCCCAGGTAGTAGGCAGAGAGCTGGATTGGAAGAGGAGCAGCCAGGACATGAACCAGCACCCATATGGAATGCCAGTGTTGAAGTTGCTACTGCACTACCACGCCCAACAAAAATTTTTATACAAATTCATTTTTGAAGTAGAAGCAGTTGAATCCACTGACATTTTTATGTAACTGGCCAGAAAAAGCTATTGCCATTTACTAACCAATGTATCTTTTATTATTATTATTATTTGACAGGTAGAGTTATAGACAGTGAGAGAGATAGAGAGAAAGGTCTTCCTTCCGTTGGTTCACTCCCCAAATGGCCGCTACAGCCGGCGCTGCGCCGATCCAAAGCCAGGAGCCAGGTGCTTCTTCCTGGTCTCCCATGCGAGTGCAGGGGCCCAAGGACTTGGGCCATCCTCCACTGCCTTCCCGGGCCACAGCAGAGAGCTGGACTGGAAGAGGAGCAACCGGGACTAGAACCTGGCGCCCATGTGGGATGCTGGTGCCGCAGGTGGAGGATTAATCAAGTGAGCCACGGCGCCGGCCCCCTAACCAATCTATCTTGTAATGAGTTGTTGCTATCCTCCTAGATGGCATGGAAATTAGAGACAAAAATCCAGTGCGTAATGGCCTGAATATTTCTGTGCAGCTCTTTTACTGGTAGAAAAGCTTGTATAAAATAATTATATCCAATGCTCTCACAGGTTTTCTTACAAAATACTTGTAACTTCACTGAAGGATTAGATCATGGTATTTCATCAGTTACAAAGTACATATTTTCTCCCTACATTTTTAGACTTTTTAAAAAAAGATTTATTTACTTGAGAGTCAGAGTTACAAAGGGAGGGTGAAACAGGGATAGAGGTCTTCTATCCTCTGGTTTACGCCCCAAATGGCCACAATGGCCAGAATAGAGCCTATTCAAAGCCAGGATCCTTGAGCTTCTACCGGGTCTCCCATGTGGGTTCAGGGACCCAAGCACTTGGGCTATCTTTCACTGCTTTTCCAGGCTATCAGCATGGGAGTTGGATTGCAAGTGGAGCAGCTGGGACTTGAACCAGCACCTATAGGGCTGCCAGCGCCACAGGCAGTGGCTTAACCTCCTATGCCACAACCCCGGCCCCCATTCTTAACATTTTTAAAATCAAGCTACTCTTTATAATAGTCCTTGGCATCTTACAAATGTCCAGATGGCAGTTAAAAGGTTGTTCATAACTTTCTGTATTGTTGTCACTTCATTTGAATCATGTGTGTTATTGTATGAGTTGAGTTCAATTGCCATGTACAGTGTCTTCCAGAAGAGCACCTGTGATTTGGTATTGAACACAGTGCACACAAATGGCATGGACTCCGAAGCTAGGCACAGCTTAGAATAAAGCAAATATTCATTCTTGAAGACATGCCTATAATTCCTTATTTTCTTGGAGTGCCATGACCAAGTGTAAAAGGAAAATACTTTAGTAGATGAAGTTGCTATTTTTTAAAAAAAAAAATCTATCTATCTATCTATCTATCTATCTATCTATCTATTTATTTGAAAGAGTTACAGAGAGGGAGATTTTTTTTTCTTTTCTTTTTTCTTTTCTGAGAGAGAGAGAGAGAGAGAGAGAGAGAGATTCTGTCTACTCGTTCACTCCCCAAATGGCCACAACAGCCAGGACTGGGCTAGGCTGAAGCCAGGAACAAGGAGCTTCATCCATGTCTTCCACACGGGTACAAGGTTTCAAGCACTTGTACCATCTTCCAGTGCTTTCCCAAACACACTAGCAGGGAGCTGGTTCAGAAGTGGAGCAGCTGGGACTCCAACTGGTGCCCATATGGGATGCTGGCACTGCAGGCAGCGGCCTCACCCACCATGCCACAGTGCCAGCCCTGCTGTGTTATGTTTTTGTTAGTGAGATCTTTGTTAAAGGACTGCCTATCACAGGTCACGAAAAAAATAAAATCAATAAAAGGTAATCTAAAAGGCCATTAAGACTTTCAGGTCTGCTTCATTGGAAGAATATCTCTGAGCTCTAAATGACTGCATAATTTCTTGATGACACAAGAATCAAAGTCATGTTCAAGTAATTCTGAAATGTTGGAAGTCTTAGGTATATATCAGTGTATTTCACTTAAAATTTTTTGACATGTTTATAAAAGTCTATCCCCAAAGCCAGAATTGTTTTTCTAAATACAACATAAAAATTTCAAGTAATAGAAAAACATTTTCACACTTTTAATTGATGATGCTTTTATTTTCAGTGATATATCTCATCTTATTGATTTAGTGTCTTGCTAATTTGTTTTTGTAACTATAAAAAGCAGTTCTTGATGTGATTTTTGCAGGTGCCTAATGGATAAGAACTTCGTTAGGATTGGGAAATGGTTTGTCCGACCCTATGAAAAGGATGAAAAGCCAGTTAACAAAAGGTGAGTTTTACAGTGCTCTTGGCCTTCTGATTTCTTTTGGACCACAGCTTTCTTTGGGGAAGGGTTGGGTGGGTAGCTTATTTATTTCTTAATAATGTTAGAGGTTTAGATGTACTAAAATATGTTTTTGGATCACAATGTTATTAAATGTTGGATTATTAAATTTTTCTTTAATATTAAAAATTGGACTAGAAAGATGATTGTTAATATACTTATATGTAAATCAATTATGACCACACTATTTGAGAGTGAGATATTTTATTTTGTGATTTTTCATTATTCTTGCTCATTTTTCTTCCTTAAACTATTATATGGTATAACTGTAAAAACAGCCAAGTGAATTAAAATAGTGAAAATTTTGATGTTCCTTAAAGTATCTTAACATGCTCTTGACTATGTAAAATTCCAGGACTGAATTGTTTCTGTAAACCTAAACTTTTAGCTACAATTTGTATGTGTGAGTATACGAGCAGTCCTTGATACAAAATAAGCGTGGAGTTTAGCTCAATCAAATCAGAATCAGAGTAATTACCTTACTTACCTCTCAGTATAGCATAGAATTAGTTGAAATCATAAGTGGATGGTGATTATTTCATGTCGAAGAGCATAGCACATAGTCTCGATTCTGTTTACTGTCATTGTGCTTGCCCTAAGCCAAGTGTTCCTGCAACCAGCTTTTGATTAGCGCTCTCTGAAACCTTATATAGTAGCCTTAAGGTTAAGTCTTTTCTATTACTTGATAGAATTACAGCTAGTAGCTCTTGCCCTCTTTGGAACTTTTACTCTCTAAACTTTCCCAGTTGCTACCACAGATTTAATTAGTAGTCTTTCCCCCAACGTATCTGTCTTAAAGCTTTAATGAAATTGCTGTGGGATCTCCTCAATAACAAAATTTAAAATTTAGATCCCCCAATCATATAAATCATATAAATATAGATTGGCCATTTTCTTTGCCAAATCACTGTGAACTTTGAAATATTTTCCTTTTTTAGTACATTTAAAATCTCTTAGGACTTATAAAATCTTATAGCACACAGGTGTATGTACATCAAATTTTACCTTTTAGAAAGGTAGCCATGTATATGAATGTGATTATTAAAAGTGTGACTCTGTTTATGGAGACTTTGATTGATGGAGCAGGATTTTTTTTTCTGTACAGTCAGCCCTTCTGTCCATGGCTTCCACATGCTTGGATTCCAGCAATAGTGGGTTGAAAATACTCAACACTTGTGTCTGTACAGACTGTACAGACTTTTTTTTTGTTATTCTCTAAACAATGTCATATAATAGCATTTACATTGTATCAGGTGTTTTTTATTTCCCAAGATATTTCACATATTTATTACTGAACCAACACCCCAGTCATACTCTCATTCAGATGTGTCCAGCTGTCCAGACAATAGTGATACCTTCAATATGATGTGGTTAAGATGGTGACAGTGATAACAGCATAAATATGTGTGCCACTGCCCTCTGGAGTACAGTTCCATAATAGACCCAGCTTGGTTCTTTGTGTTCTCTTGGAGTTTTTTTTTTTTTTTTTTCTGATTTTACTGCCACTTTTCATCCAAATCCTTTGGAAAATAGGAGGATTTTGTTTTGCTTTTTGGCCAGGAAATCTGAAAGTCTTGTGAGAAGACATGGCAAGGAAGTCAGGTACATTTACCATGAGTGTGGAAAAAAGGAATAAATATATTAGATGTTATAAGTAATCTAAAGATTTTTCAAATATACAGGATGATAAGTTATATGCCAGTAGAGTGCTGTTTTGTATGAGGGATCTGAGTATACTGTGATTTGGGTATGCTGGGATAGGGCTGGACCCAACACCCTGTGACTTTGGCTCTTGAGGGATAAATATATACTGATTTAGCTTAACCTAATTATGAATATGTTCTTGGATTTTTATTTCCAAATCTTGCATTTAAGTTAAATGTACAGAGGACTTAGATTTTCCAAGTGGTTACAGTTTTGGCTTTCATGTTTGTAAGTGGAAGTGAATAACCATGGCATGATTCAGCACAGTAGCTGTCTTGTCCAGTCTTCCTTGCCTCCTCATGCTTAGTATGGATTCTCACAGAGCCAGTCACAAAACTTTGAATCATCAGATATAGCTGTTTGGGTGAATTGACAGCCACTAGGGGATGAAGAGGAAGTGTAGAAATGAAACAAGAATCGAAGGAGTAGCGATTAGTAATCATGTATTAATAGTAAAACTGTTGAAAAAGTCACATAGAGTGACCAGTTTATTTTATAGAGTTTGTATATCTTAACACTTCATTTAGAATCTAAAAGTTTTTATAAGTTTAGCAAGCCAAATGTCAATAATACATGTAACATATTTAAATATTTGATTTGCTATAACCATGAGGCTGCTGATCTCTGAGTAGTATAACAAATTATTTTTAGACTTTCTATTCATGATTGAATGTCAAAGTTTTGTCTTGTGTAGAATTTCAGAAGAGATTAACAATTAGAAAAAAAATTTAACCAAAACCAAGTTTTATAAGTTGGCATCTGCTGTAATAAAGTTGTATTCAGTGTGATGCCTTTTTCCTCTTATTCTCTAAGTGGAAAAGAGAGCCTCTCTCCTGTTGCCTGTTGGAATGGAATCTGGGTGTCAGGTGTTCTGAATGGACAGGGTGACGCTGTGGAGGGGCACTGAGAATTAGAAGAGAGGTGGGTGCGCATCCCATTTTCTCTTTACAAATTCATTTGGGACAAGTTGTATAGTTTCTATGGATGGGACTTTTCTGGTTTTTTGCTGTTACCAAATTTAAAATAGCAATTATTACCTTAAAAGGCTATTATGATAATTATATGGCAGTTTATAATTTTGTTGAGATAAACTGAAAATGAGTCAAATTAATTTTCCTTAAGGTTTTTTTATACGTATCTTGGTGATCAGGAGGGAGGAAAATTTGCTGCCCAGTACTAAACAGATTGTATGTACAAAATTAGTATTTTAGAAGTTCTCTTATTTGATGCTATTAATTATAGATAAAAGGAGTATGCATAATAGAATAATATTCTAAATATACAGTGTAATATTAACATTTATACTTTGTAAAATTAATTATAAGTGCAGTATATCACACTGCATACTTTAAGTAGCTAAAATAACTATAAAAGCAGAGACAAATATATTGAGAATGAGTTCAATGTATTATTAATACAATTTCTTGTGCTGCAATTTCCTTTCATTTTTTATTAAAGATTTCTTTTATTTATTTGAATGACAGAGTTACAGAGAGAGGTAGAGCCAGAGAGAGAGAGAGAGGTCTTTCATCTGCTGGTTCATTCCCCAAATGGCTGCAATGGCCAGAACTGAGCTGATCTGAAGCCAGGCCCAGAAGCTTCTTCCAGGTCTCCCATGTTGGTGCAGGGGACCCAAGGACTTGGGTCGTCTTCCACCACTTTTCGAGGCCATAATAGGGAGCTGGATTGGAAGTGGAGCAGCCAGGATTTGAACCAGAGCCCATATGGGATGCCGGCACTGCAGGCCAGGGTTTTAACCCACTGGGCCACAGCACTGGCCCTGTCCTTACATATTGACAACAAACAAATCACTTGCTTGTGGACTTACAAGTTTTAATTTGTAGAATTAATGTTTTTAATTTGTAGAATGAATGGTAATTCTAAAAAATATACACTCATGTATTAAATTTTTTTGACTTTTGTATCTCTGGGAAAATAATAAATAGGAAAGAAAACTTTGGCTTTATCATAAATGGTTGTGACAAGTAAAATCAAACATTCAAAATTTCTACCTTTTTTTTTAAAAATACTGATTTATTTATTTGAAAGCCAGAGATACAGAGAGGGAAGGAGGGAGGGAGAGAGAGAGAGAGGGAGAGAGAGAGAGGGAGGGAGGGAGAGGAAGAGAGGGAGAGAGGGAGAGAGGGAGAGAGGGAAGTGGAAGTCTTCCATCTGCTTGTTCACTCCCTAGATTGTCGCAATGCCTGGAGATACACCGATCTGAAACCAGGAGCCAGGAGCTTCTTCTGGGTCCCCATGTAGGTGCAGGGGCCTAAGGACTTGGGCCATCTTTCATTGCTTTTCCAGGCCATAGCAGAGAACTGGCTGGGAAGTGGAGCAGCCGGGATTCAAACAGGGATCCAGTGGCTTTACCTGCTACACCACAGCATTGGCCCCTTCACTAAAAAAAAAAAAAAAAAAAAAGACTGAATGACTGACCCATTCATTCATTCATTCATCAGAATTACAGAGAGAGGGAGAGACAGAGACAGAGAGATCTTCTATCATTTGCCTCACTTCCCAAATGGCCACCACAGCCAGGGCTGGGCCAGCCTGAAGCCAGGAGCCAGGAGCTTCCTCTGGGTCTTCCACGTGGATGCAGGGTTCCAAGCATTTGGGCCATTTTCCTGCTGCTTTCCCAAGCACATTAGCAGGGAGCTGAAGGATCAGCCAGGATTTGAACCAGAGCCCATAGGGATGCCAATGCTGCAGATGGCAGCTTTACCTGCTGTGCCATAGCTGCTACCCTAAAATTTCTGCTTTCTGAAATCTGTGTTGAACTGGAAAAAGCCATTGCATTCAAAATTCTCAAACACTTGAAAACAAATGTGTAAAAAACAAGTTAATTTTATTTTTAGAAGAAATTATTCTTGTAATTGCGGTTCTTTTATTGGAAAGATACTTGATTTCCAGTTTACCTGTAGTTTTACACCACATTTTATTACTGAAGAATTTGTAATCATGACTTCAGACTTTGAATGATATTTTTAGCAAAATAATTGATTGCTACCAATAGTTTATAAGTGTGACCTTTTTCTGGTATCAGATGTAACTTTATAAACTAAGTTAAAACAAATACCAAGTTGCTAGTCCATTTTCTGAATTAATTTGACAACACTTTCTTATGGGCAATCCTGCCCAACTTTTGATTGATATTCCAAAGAGCCCCGCATGTTTTCAAATATTCTAATTACTTCTTTACATGCCAATAGCACATACACATTTGAAGTATATTATTTTGA